TGTAGCGCATGCGGTGTTAGGTATTTTTTATGTTTTTTTTACACCTTTGAGTTTTAAGGATCCCTACTTTTTTTGGAAATATAATATAGCCTATAGCACTCAGGGATAGTGTAGCTTCCTAATGGTGAAAGAATTTTTCAAATCGGTCCATTAGTTAAGGAGCCTATTCAGTACAAACAGACAGACAAACAAACTTACTAAATAACTAACTTTTCCTCTTTATAATCTTATATATATAATTCTCGTGTCACAGTTTTCGTTCGTCCTCCGAAACGGCTTGACCGATTCTCATGAAATTTTGTGAGCGTATTGAGTAGGTCTAAGAATCCGCCAACATCTATTTTTCATCCCCCTAAATGTTAGGGGTAGTCCACCCCAATTTTTTTATTATTATAAGGCAAAACAGCGTTAGCCGGGCAGCTAGTATTAGTATAGATATAAGAGAACGTAACGGAAACTGTGCTAGGATTTAGTATTACAGTATTTCGATCCCATACATATGTACTTATATCAAACTAATTCTTTTTTTTAAATACGTCACTGGAATCATGTCGCTGTGATGCTATGTAACATTAGTATGTAATATTACGTTATCTGTGACATTAGTAATCTGTGGTATTAATATTAACAATGAAACAAGATATACATATGTCATACTGTGTAAAAACGCTCGAAAATAGTTGTAGGTAGAGATCCTTGTGGCGGAAAAATATGGCGCAGATAATATATTCTTTTTTACTATATAAAAGAATAATAGTCCAATATTAGATAATCCCGCCATAGCTTCAAGAGCTATTGTATGTACTCATTCTTTCAATGCAATCTATGAGAATTATAAAATATTCAATATCTTTTCAAAATTATATATTACTAACTACCTGCCCCGCAACTGCGTCCGCGTGGAATTTAACTTTATTTTTCTAAAATAAAAGGAGTCTAAGTTACTGCTTATTACATCAGCTACCTGCGAATAATAGTCCCGTCAAAATCGGTCCAGCCATTTCAGAGATTAGCCGGAACAAACAGACAGACAGATATTCATATGCATGTAGTAAAAAACGGTTATTTCAATATTACAAACAGACACTTCAATTTTATTTATATGAATAGATTATTAACATAATCACGAAACCTGAACTATAATTTTGGACAGATTCCAGCTGCCAAGCGGCATGCTTTGTAAGCTGTGATTCAGTGCAGGGTATATCATGAAATTTCACTGCCCAATGGAAGTGTAATTACAAGATAAAGTCGTGTTATCTTAGACCTCCAGAATGGTAATAATAATATGCATCACATGATAACGTGATGTCCATAGTTATTATCTATATATCGGTTACCACTTACAATCACGTGGGCCGACAACTTGTTCTTCAGCCAAGCAGCTGCACAATGTATAAATAAATGCTAAATTTCTAATTCTTTATTTGTGAAGTACAGGTTACAAAGCTCTTAAGAAATACATAGTATACTGTCTTCTGCAATTACGCGTACAAATATGACTGAAAACAATATATGTATATATATATTTTATTGTATTGTATTGTATGTATATTATTGTAGGATTATAAAACTAATAAACTAATCTTCATCCAAGAAATTCATTTATAAAAGAATAATAATATAAAATAAAGTAATATATATTGTCTAATAAATATTACTTCAAAATAAATTTAAGCTTTATTTGCCTATTAATAATATTAGTGTTACTCGCAACTGTTTAATAAAAAGTTCTAGCACCAAAATCTGACTTAATTTTTTAAGGTTATAAGCTTGGTATAAGGTCTATAGGCTTGTTCTTTGGTATGTCTAGGCGTTGTATTTGAGTCATGAGACTTTATTTGACAATTCTTAATTGTAACATATTGATATTGATTTTATAGGCCTCAGTAGTCTAGACTTTTGGCACGCCATCTTACTTCCGACGGTCGCGGGTTACATTCTTACATGAATAAATTATCTACATTTTTTTTTTATTTCGAAACTTGAATGTGCATATTCGGAAACCACGATGTTTGAGGCCGCATCACACTTGGCCGGTTTTTTTTCCAAGTCACTTCTGAAGGCACGTCACCGCATCATCACGCACTGCAGAAGTGATAGCTGTCATTTGTAGTGAGGCGTCTCACCTTGATGATTTTAATGTACACACTCCGCGCATTAAAACATGCTGTAACTTCTAGTATATGTATATAATATATTTTGTTTAATACCACGTAGGTGGCAAACAAGCATACGGCCCATCTGATGGTAAACGCTCACCGGAGCCTATGGACGTTTGAAACACCAGGAGTGTCACGTGTGCGTTGCCGACCCTTAAGAAACCTTAATATCCCCTTCTTGAAAAACCGCATGGTGTAGTCTCTCGAGAAAACCTCGGCATGTAGTTCATTCCACAATATAAGTGTATGAAATTATTAGAAGTTGCAACATGGAATAATATATCTGGATGAACAGTGGTCCTCCACAGTGCGATTTTCTAGACACTTTTTGCAAAGCACAAGCACATTGTGAAATCACCTTTCAGCAATGGTATTTCCAGACTGATACGATATTGAAACTTTCAAGAGAAGAGCTTATTCCTTCTTATAAGGCCGGTAACGCACTTGAAATTCCCCTGTTGTTGCGGGTGCTTATGGGCGACGTTAATCATTTACAATCAGGTGAGCGGCAGGCTCGTTTGTCCCCTTTGTTATAAAAAAATACCATATTTCTGATTTCCCGGATTTCCGAAACGGCTTAACCGCTTTTGATGGCTGTACGACCCTCTACCACCTATCCGCGCCAGAGAGGCGCGACGAGGCGATCCCCAGATTTCTGTATCCTACCTCAGCGCTTCACGGTCAGTTACCTCCCCACCATCTATACCCGTTCCCCGCAGACGATTCTATTAACCTTAAAGTAGTCGTTAGGTTAGAATAGGCTTATTCTTTTTTATTATTTGTACCTATACTCTGTAATAAATTTTATTTCATATTCCTTTTTGGTTTCTTCCACTTACCTGTCGACCTAACGTGACACCGTTTGAATTAGATGGGGGATTGGTCGGAGGGGTGATCATTATGGCATGCGGACACATTGAACCATTATCGTTCACTAAAAAGAAAATGTATTCTTAATTTAGCTTTAGTTTGAGTCTCACCATGTTACAGCAAACAGATTATACAAAATATTCATTCATTAAATTCCATTTTTATATTACAATACTGAGTTACTGTTTATAAATATTTATATAAACTTCAGTTAAGTAGTGACATAGGTTCCCTACATTATACTTTTATTTAATTACTATATGATCCTGCGATTTTATTTTTTAAACCTATTGGAAAAAAATCTAGATGCTTGTATTGTAAGTCACTTAAAATTTATGCTAAATTTTAAGTGAAATTTACAATGCAAGCCAATACTATACATTAATGAAAACCGATTGCTGCATTAGCGCTCATAAACGAACAGATAAAGAGACAAACATTCTAACAATAATTATTTTTGGGTTTTAATACATTGACAAATCTTTAGACTGAATAATAAAAATAAAATATTAATAATAAACCTAGACAATTCACACAGGATTGATTGTGACCATCATGAGAAAAATAAAAAATAAATCTATCCCATGCAGTTTGAAAAGTATAAAAGCATTTAAGAAAAACCTAGAAAACTGGTCAAACTGTTAGCATTCGGTTATTGTGGTTAATTTTTATTATTTTTGTTCATTTATATTTTGTCAAAAAGAATGACACAATTGCCCCAAGTTTTCTAGAATTAAGACTATTTGTTACACTATGAATTTAAAAAACTCAGTAGTCCTCCTTCATGAAATATTAATATAAAGATATAGTGGATGATCCGAATAGCAGACGGAGGAATCCTAAAAACATTATATAAATTTTAAACTTTCGTGTTTAATATACATTATTTAAATTATTAACCGGGTCTTAACACGAATAATTTTATGGCACATAAAGGTATTTACCTCACTCGACGTTTTGACTAGGTTGCACTACACAAAATTGACTGTAGTTGTGGTAGCTCTTATATTGGCCAAACAACGATCAATAGCCGAGAGAGTCAAAGAGCACATCGCAGCGGTTAAAAATCAACAACCACACAAATCAGCGATTGCCGATCATCTACTGAACGCTGGAACAAATCACTGGATTGAACTACATGCGCCTAAGGTCCTCGATCCTACTGATCGCCACTATTACCCACGAATGGTCCGGGAGGCGATTGAAATTAAAAAACATCCCAATTTCAACAGAGAGGATAGCTTAAAATTATCATCTGCGTGGAATCCAGTTATAAATAAATTCAAGCAAAGTTCAGTAGCATCAATAGTCAATAAGTGTACGGATACCGTGAGTGCTGTGTGTCGCGAACTTTCGTTAAACAATCTAGTGACGGTAGATGAAAAAACTGCTGTCACCTATCTACATTGACATTGCTGTTACTCCAGTCAGCTCGTGACCACGGCTAGTGCAACCTAGTCGAAACGTCGAGAGAGGTAAATACCTTTATTTGCCATAAAATTATTCGTGTTAAGACCCGGTTAATAATTTAAATAAATTATATAAATTCTTCTATTTTTGATACACAAACGTACATTGTTTAAAACCATAATTTCATCCGTAAGCCCAACATATCAGAGCAGATACAAAATTAACTAAAATATAATCAGAATTTATATTAAAACCAGTGGAAAATAACTAGTGTGGATGATTTAACGTTTAGTTAGTTTAATAACTGTTACTAACTGCTTATATGATATGTGGTATTTAACTACATCATTTTTATGTTTCATACTGCTCAGTTCTTGCCATGGACAACCGGATATATCGTTCCAGTCCCTAACAGCGTTTTCTCGGAAGGTGCCTTATGCAGAGACTCTATCCGCAATCAAATATTTTCAGCATAATATTGGGAATATCATAAAAGACGCGGTTAATATTTTCGACAACATCCCAAATGCACTAGCTAGGAGTATCAGCTACGATGGAATGTTACATATGAAGGAGTATAATATTTCTCGGGAGCGTATCCGCGAAGCATATATAGCGGGTATGGCCAACGAAGACGTGAAACTCAGTGTTGGAGAACTGATTTTAAAGTATGGACATCCGTTAGAAAGGCACGAGGTAGTTACTGAAGATGGTTATATTTTGACAATGTTTCGGATACCAAAGAAAGGACCGGTTGTGTTCCTAATGCATGGATTGCTCGGAAGCGCTGACGATTTCGTGATAGGAGGGCCAGAGGTCAGTTTAGCATACCTCTTGGCCAACGATGGTTACGACGTATGGTTGGGTAACGCTAGAGGGAACAAACACTCGCGTCGGCACATCAGTCTCAATTCCTCTGAGCCAATATTTTGGGAGTTCTCGTGGCACGAAATTGGCTTCTACGACCTACCAGCCATGATCGATTATACTCTTAACATTACAAATAAGAAGTCACTGTATTACGTAGGACATTCTCAAGGCACGACCTCCTTCTTCGTTATGGGCTCTTTACGACCAGAATACAATGAAAAGATTATACTTATGATAGCATTAGCACCGGCTGCTTATATGTCGCACACAAAATCACCACTTGTACGATTGTTAGCTCCCATAAGTTCAACAATAAACACGGTGTTGAAAAGCTTGGGTATACACGAGTATTTACCAAATAGTCCAATCGTGCGTACTTTGATAAGTATACTGTGTGATACGGAACAAATGGCAGGAGTTCTTTGTATGTATATTTTAATGATGTTCTCTGGACTCACATCGGAAATAAATATTACGGTCTTACCAGTCCTTATAGGGCATGTGCCATCAGGTGGGTCTATCAATCAGGTGCTGCATTACGTTCAGGAGGTCAAGTCGGGCAAGTTTCGCCAATTCGACCACGGAAATGATGGAAATATGGTGAAATATGGCAGGAAGACGCCGCCCAGTTACCCCTTGGAGAAGATCTCGGTCCCGATTTATTTGGTTTATAGCGGCAATGATCTGCTCTGTCAGCAAGAGGATATATACAAATTGTGCGGTAAATTAAAAAACTGTACGGATATATATAGGATATCGGATGAATATCAGTTCAATCATTTGGACTTCGTGTGGTCTAAACATTTCAAGAGTTTGGTATACGAACGTATATTGAAGCAGTTATGGAAGTTTACCTAATTACAATGGACGACCCCAAATAAATGGGATAAGGAAGAAGCAGATGATGACTTAATTACAATGGAATCAAAATGTTTTATAAATTACTAATATAAAAAGGATATATTAGTGACATGATTACTAGTGACTCGCCCCGGCTTCGCACGCGTGGACATTTTTTCAAACATTTTTATTTATTCCTACCTAATTAAATTGTTTCTATCCTAACTATTATTGTTTGTTATTTATGTCGTAATTTAAAATTGTACAGTGTATAGTTTCTATACCGGAACATGCTAACATTGTTTAATAAATAATAATAATGACTCGCATTGTGTCGCGGTTTCACACTGTGTAGCTTCGCTCGTCAGTGGTTCTAACTTCGATACCATTTTATTTTAATTTGGATTCTATTTTAATTTTTTTAATTTACTTTAATTTTTATTTATATTTAAAAATATAATACAGAATGGAAATAATTTAATAAAAGGCAATAATAATAATAATAATAATATAGATGTACCTGCTGTAGTTATAATAAAATCGCAAAGTTGTGACTATAATTGTCAATTTGTTATTAGGGTTTCACGTAGAAATGGCTGAAAGTTTTAAGATGAAATTTTCATAGAAATTGTTATTAAATAAATATGTCTAATGAAAGTAGAGAAAACTATCGCAAAGTGGTGAATTAATAGTTATTATTATTATTATTAATACTTTGTATTCCTTTGATTAATTAGGAAGGAGAAATAAGCAAATTTTACTCATTCATTAATAAAAAAAATATCTGTGACCTTCCTTTGCGTATTGCTTAAATTGTTGTTTTGAATTTACTACCCTATTCTTTTTTTTAAATTAACCGTTTAGTAACGACCAGTGCATCTCTTATAGGCTGCCAGATTCCAAATTCAAATGTATTATATTTTATTTCTTTTTAATTGTAACTATTACAATTAAAAATAAACAAAATATGGTCAGACTACATAGTCTGACCATATCATCTATGTACATATATTGCATGGAGATACATAATTTGTTATTTGCCCAGTGCGTGCTTGAGGCCATCGATACCCGCAGTGTAATTGTTATAGAACTTATACACGTATCGTTTATTTTTGCCTTTATAAAATACGAACGACATGCGAAACCTTTACCCCGGTACAGAAATATACCAAGCCATTTAATATCTTATTGGATTGGCATAGAGTGTAAAATTGCTCATAATTTAATATTAGAATAATCAGATTAAGGGGTCTTACAAATGGTAGACATTATTTGGCTTATAAGCAACTTGTTTGTAATTGTAATTTATGAAAAAAATATTAATTACGTTTAGGGTCAAATATATGTAAAATAACATTGAAAATTGATATTAAAAATAAATTATAGGTAAATAGTCATATATTCGTTGTTCGTTATATTTTTGTAATAAATGTTTATTTTTATTATAACGAGTTTCTTCGTTTTTTCTCGATAACGATTCTGTCCTCGTGTACTTACAAATTAACTTTTTGCTTGTTGTTTTTAATTTCCTTTGGTATTATATTATTTATTTTACTAAGATGTTTTTTAAAATGTAATATAGGTACAATATTTGTTACGACTGACCGTAAACGCACTCCCAAAATTATAAAGTCCGGTAAGTTGGTATAATTACAGGATTATTTAATTAATTAACCTATTGAATAGAAATTTAATTTTAATTTGAAGCTAGTTTGCATTATTTTTTTTTTCTATTTATCATTTCGTCGTACTGATACATATCAAATATCATCAAGACCTATTAAGGCTGTCGAAATAAAACTGGCAGAATAAATATCTAAGTGTAATATTCGAACAGTCGTCTAGTATCCACAATACAAGCTTTGCTTACCATGGGACTAGATGGCGCTGTGTTATATGTCTATCGTAAAAAAAACAAGTACATAGTTAATTTTAAATAGTTATAAGTATTGTAATTGTAAACCTGTTTATGATCATAAATAAATATAAATAATCGCAAATACGACAAACAGCCCGCGTATTGACTACCTAAATTCGCTGAAGGCGTCTCTAGTAAACATTGTTACCATAGCAACGAAACACGACAGTCAAATAACTCAGCTGTATCGGCAGTTACATCGGGAATTAAGGATATTTATGCACTTTTGTGGTTTTATAGACCTCGTACTTATGTATGGACTGCTGTAAACAAGATCACGCAGTATAATAATAAATAGGGTATAAATTAATTAAACGTAACTATTACTCGGAAACTTTTTACAAAGGTTTGTAAAAAGTTTCCTTGTAAAATTATCTTAGCTGTGGCTTCACCTAATTTTGCCAATATTTCGGTAGATAGATAAATTAAAAAACAAATCAATTACTGATAGATAGACAAATGCAACCAGAGATATTACTAGTGTTATAAACTTGAAAGTTTGTGAGTATGGATGGATGGTTTGTTACTCTTTCACGCAAAAACAACTACATGGATTTTGAAGAAAGTTTATAGTATCACAGCTTATACATCAGTCTGATAGGTTATAAGTTTCATGCGGATGAAACCATGAGCATGAGAAGCATGAAACTTATAGCCTACCCTGGCTTTTAAACCATCTATTTCCTTATAGTTCGTTGACGGCCTCGGTGGTCTAGCAGTTTAGTACACCGCCTTACTTCCAATGGTCCTGGGTTCGATTCCTCGCACAGCTTAAACATTTGTATTCATGAGTATGATATGATTGTTTGTATCGGTCTAGGCATTTTCTATGTATATATATTTACGAAATAAAATATATCTATGTATATGTATCAGTTATCTAGTACCCATAACACAAGCTTTAGCTAGCTTAACTTGGGTCTAGATGGCGCTGTGTGAATTGTCATGAGATTATTATTATATTATCACAAAAGAACGCTGTCGAATTCATAATGTAACAATACAAACCAATGTAATGAAAACTGTGAAATTAGTAGTAGTGTAAGATTTATATAATTGTATATGCATATTGGTAAATGTAGCTGGCTCCTAATAAAGATAGGTGACACTGCATGTTGTCAACTTACCCGGCCGGCCAGCGGTGGTTCTGGGCCAGACGGATAAGGTCTGCCTCGGTGCCACTGTTAGGCAAATTGCAACATCTCGGATGGAGTTGTACAAAAGTGGAAATTAAAGAAATATAATAATATTAAAGTAAATTAAACAAGGCACGGAAGAAAATGTCTGTGGCAAATTGTATTAAAAAAAAAAGAACGCTTTCTAACATGGATTCGTAGAGTTGGAATTTACTAGGGCCATAATTTAATCAAATCACTCCGATTTCTTTTAATGAGTATTAATTGTTCGCTTCCTCATTTCACCTTTGGTTGCTCTAACTTGTCTATGGCAGATTTTTCTATTAATCTATCATTTCTTATGTCTATACACATAGAGTTCTGTTTGTTGACTTGTATTTGTGTAAGTTAGTGCATTTAGTGATGCAATTAACGCGGTTATTTTATAAAGGGAAAATAAACAGGCCATGGGGTCACTCGACTTGGAATTTTATTGTAAACTAGCTGTGCCAGTGGTTCGACCCGCGTTAAATTTCAGTATATACATTTCAATTAAAAATATCGCCTATGTGTTATTCTGATGCGTAAGCTATATTACTGTAAAGTTTCATCAAGATCCGTTCAGTATTTTTTTCAATCTTTCGCGTTTATAATATAATTAAGATTTTTTTGTTTATTAGCAAAATATACAGGTTTAGGTATGACTTCTAAATATTACAATAGTTGATGAAAATTGGATTGGATTTTATTTTCAATTAGAATGAGCTTATTGAGAAATAAATTCGATCCAGATTTCTGTCTGTCAGTACATTGTTTATAGTGTGTTAGGATTGCCATCCGTCCGAGTTTCATCAGATTTATCTTAAAGGGCTTCCAGAAAATGTTCTTGTGTGGTTACATTTATAGTTTGGCTATAAAACAGTAAATATATATTAATTATAGTAAACTATATTTTATTTTACTATGTAACTTAAAAAAAACAATGGTCAATGGAGCAATGGTCTTTATATCCTGAGGACACAAAGACCATTGCTCCTAAGAATATCCTTCAATTTTGTCCCTGACCTTGTCCCTGACTGGTCTTGGTAACTCTGAAAAAGGGATAGCACAATAGATCTATGTAGGTCGCAGTGCTACACATCCAAGCACCTGACAATAGCCCAAACACCCAATAAAAAATATATAGTTTTAAGTTTATAGAAATAGTAACCCTCTATCTAATAGAATGGACAGGACGAAATTACGATAACCGTAAATACCGGAAATGTTCTAATACCACCATGTTGGCAACCGTGGGGGTATTGGGTTTGATGTCAACATATCTGACATTAATAATGTCATAAAAAATGTTTTACTACCGGTAGTTTTATGTGAGCAGCTTAGATAATTCCCAGTAGGTGTTACGGAAATGGAAACAAGACTAATCCGCAGAAATGACAACAGATGAGGCATAGATGGTTTGACGGCCACGGTGGTCTAGCGGTTTAGCACACCGCTTCAATTCCGATGATCGCGGGTTTGATGTCTGGTATGGTACAAACATTTGTATTCATGAGTATGATTGTTTGGGTGTTTACTATGTATATATAATATAATAATCTTAATACAATTCACACAGAGCCGTCTAGATCCAAGTTAAGCTAGCTAGAGCTTGTGTTATGGGTACTAGATAACTGATACATATACATAGATTTTTTTTTTTATTACATACATATTATACATAGAAAACACCACAGCGATACAAACAATCATACTCATGAATACAAATGTTTGTACCGTGCGAGGAATCGAACCCGCGACCATCGGTCGTAAAGCGGTGTGCTAGACCGCTAGACCACCGAGGTCGTCAATAATAGATTATTTGTATCGATCTGGGTGTTTTCTATATATATTATGTACTAGCTGTACCCGCGACATCGTCCGCGTAAAATAGTGACTTTGACCTGCATGTATTTACAAAAAATAAAATATATGTAGTTATATCAGTTATCTAGTATCTATAACACAAGTTCTGCTTATCTTGGGACTAGATGGCGCTGTGTGAAATGTCAAAGGGAGGAAGGATAAACAAGTATTTTGAAGGGAGTGGAAAGGGAGCTTTCTTTAGCCTTTTAAGAATAAAAGTTTGAAAATAAAGTAATTTTTATTATATTATTTTTATTATTATATTATCATCAAAAATCACTTCCGTCAATTAATTTAATTATGATATATACTTTAGCATATTAGTTTTTATTATATTATAAGGGACCATTATTATATTTCGGTATATCAGTTTTATTGTTTCCACATAGAGTGTTTTTTTCTAAGTACATGGCATTTCGGTATGTCAGACCTATCGTACCTACCCAGAGTTGTTTTTCCAAATATAAATAATATAATTCAATGTTCAAATATTTATATAGGTACCTTGCCAGTCTAAGTATAGAGATAGAGAAGTCAGAAACCTGTTCAACGAGGTCCACCACAGGTATAAATATGTACCCAAACACAAAAATAGTTTGTTTCTAAATTTGCCAGATAATATTAAAAGAACAAATATATAATAAATTTTCTTTTAAAAGTAAATTAAGGGAACATTGTGAAAATTTGTAATTATTTCTCTTCTCTCAGTTCTTTTCTATTCTACTCTCTATAGTTCTGTGACTATCAGACTATTTGGTATATATTTAGGTATTTGATATATGAATATATTATTGTATCCCTTAGGTATATATTGGATTTTCCGCTCTGTTTATATTTCGTTGCATTTTGTTTATTATTAATTATATTTGCACCGCCAACAATTATTCTCTGAACCACCTATGATAGAAAGAACTGCATGGTGTTAAGTTCGCCAAAGTTAAGTACTGTACTGTAATAATAATATAATAGTAATGATCTCACGACAATTTACACAACGCCATCTAGCCCCAAGCTAAGCTGAGCTTACGTTATGGGTAGATAACTGATGTAAATACCTACATAGAGTTTTTTTTTGTAAATGCATACATATTATACATATATAAGACCCAAAACGATACAAACAATCATACTCACGAATACAAATCTTTGTACCGTTTGAGGAATCGAACCCACGACCATCAGATAGTAAAGTGGTATGCAATACCACTACATCACCGAGGTTGTCAATAACTTTTGTATTGCGCGCATTGAAGTTAAATAAACGTTGGTAGTTTCTCACGATCGGTTCAGCCGCGTTGGCGCAAAGAAACAAACAAGCAAACTAACTTTCACATATATAATATTGGTAAGGATGTCATAAATAATATTATCGCTTTAGGACATATGACATAATTCCGCGATTTCCTCTGCCACCCACGTGGGCGTTAACGAAGAGCGTCTAGATCAGTGATTCCCAAAGTGGTTTATATCGACCCCCAGGGGTCTATGACAAACTGCAAGGGGTCTACTGTCTCTACGGTCTGCAATTCATATTGTTGTTTTTACTTTATGTCTTTAACAGTAAACTTTACTATAGTTAGAAATTTACAAAAAATCAATACCAGGTATGACCCCATTCAGGTATTCAGGTAATGATTTTTTGTAAATATACCCAAAACAGAAAAATATAAAGGGGTCTACGAAACAAAAAAGTTTGGGAACCTATGGTCTAGATTATTCGAATAGCATTCTGCTTATTGAATGTATTTTTATCAAAAGATTTATTGCAACGATCGTAATGTAACAATAGGTGGGGTTTGTGGGCGTGAAAAGTCACGAGACTTTTGCAAATGATCCTGACTGTTTTATTGCAGTTTATGTATATTTAGACTAGTAATATAAAAGGTATCTGGATGAATATACTTACCGAATATAGTAATCCTAATAAATCTTGGCCGTTTAAAAGATAACTTAGGTAAACTCATTATTTTGTTTATTATATAGTTTCGATGTTCTCAGAAATAATATGTTAACCATCTCTATATATTTTTTATACCATAGGACAAATGCTTGCGGCTCACCTGATGGTAAATGATTACCGCCGCCCATGAGCACTCGCAAAACTATTTTGCAAGTGCATTGCTGTCTTTTTAATTAGGAATAAGCTCTTTTCGTGAAGGTTTCAATATCGTATCGGTTCGGAAATACCATTGCCGGAAGAATATTCCACAATGTGGTTGTGCGCGGCAAGAAAATGTTAAAATATTGTATGAATATTTCACAAAATTATTAAATTAATTTTTACAATATCCTAAGTCACTCTAAATAATCACAGCTGGGTATTCATTGGATATGGTAGTATCCTTTATTATTTAATTAACAAGAAATTATGGTATGTAGTCGTGATGCGGGTGTTAGTCGAGTACGCATGTCCATATTGTAAACTTTGAATTAATAATAAATATTGTTTACTTTTTTTTTAATACACATTATTAATATAGTCAAAATGATTTTAATATGAATTATTATATGGTAATTATACCTTTCGACTAGCACTAGCCTTGGTCACGAGCTGACTATCAGGGGTTAACTATATTAATTAAAACGTAATTTATTAAATATAAGAAGGTAGTTAAATAAATATCATATGAGATAATTTAATATTCTATCAGTCTCCTTAAACTTTTTTGTAATAATATGTAAAATTATTTGATCTGTGGTAATAAGCTGTGTTTCGGTTGGAGGGTGGAATATCGCAACGAAGTTAGAGGGTACTTGTTATTGGGTCACCACTTACCGCCAGATGGACCTTTAATTTTTAGCGTTACCATAAAATAAAACTTAATTCACATTAGTCTCTTTACAAACAAATTATAAAAATACACTCAACCACATAGAGCAATGAACACCAAGATCGCTATAAATTCCGCTATAATAACAGCTCTTAATATATTATACTTTTGGGTACTAATTGTCTACGGTGGACTATAAAAATATTTGCATAAATAAAGTACAATTTTCAATAGTGACCGATCCTATTCAACGATTTTTTACAACTATAAAAATTGTGTATATTGATTGATAATATTACGGTACGGCTGGGGATAGTTATCCGATTATGAGAGAGGAGACTTTGTATAAACTTGTCTGTAGGGTTTCTTTTGTCTTTTTCGTGAATTTATACCCTAGTACATTGCTCGGCTATTACGTCTTGCTAAGATATATATACCTATTGGATTATTCAATGTATTCTTATATTCTATTCTTCCTCTAAAATGGAAACTCACGAGAGATATCTACTAACTTTAGCGTGAATATATTTCATAAATTCGTATATGTTATGCCCTCCGATCGATCTATCGTCCAATTCAAACGGGGATCGATATTACGACGGCCTGAGCCAAGGTTTGAATCCTTAGCGGTGGCCTCAGACTAAAGTCGTATCCGTCACGCGAGTTGGCCTTCAGCCTCTTCGTAAGTCCTCCCGCGGGTTTGAAGTGCATCTGTACTTGCCCCCTATCGTCCGGTGAAGCTATAAAGGTCAACTACGGCCAAGCGCATTAGAGTAGTCCGAAAAAAAAATACGTTGCTAGGAATGTTCTTTTCTATATTGTATAACGAAATTTCTTTTAAACAGCAGAAATTATTTACTATAATAAACACTAGTACACCAGAACACTGCGATCTTGTTAATTTTTAATATTATTATATTATTATTTTAAATGTGATATTATTGATTTTTTCTATATTATCAGATAGTAAAGAATATTGTATTTGTAGCCTATAGAGACTTGAATTTTTTTTTCAAGCCTTTTAGTCTATAGCACAACATTGGGTTTTAAGTTCTTTTATATTTTGCATATTTATTGCATATTTTGTATTATGCTTATTATGATATATAAGCTGATTAAATGATGATCATTATTATTATAAGTATCATAGAGTTCGTAGTAAATATTTTGATTGTATTTCAGCTGTTTCCTAGTGGAACTTTATGGTTAGAGGAGTAGATTTTGATCCTCGAAAGCCAGTAGTCTCCTTACTGTTAATTAGCATAATGACAGGTGAAATAAAAAATAAATAAATTGTCTATTAATTTATTAAAAGTTTGCAGACAAATTATGTTTTACAGATGCACCTATATGTTATTATTTACAAGGTGCCGCAATAAAAAAAAATACATCTAAACGCGTACGTTAAATGCAAAGGAATGTCAATGTTCAACAAAACGAGTTAAAATAACATTTTATTAAGTAAAAATAATTAATACATCACTGTTTTAAAAAAAACATTGGTTACTTGAACTTAATAAAATGGTAATGAAATATATATACAAAAGATTTTGAAGCGTATTTATATTAGTTTAAAATAATTTCATGAATTTTTATTATTGTACACATTATATAAACAGCATATTTACCGTTATATAATTATTAATATTATTAATAATAATAATTGAATTATAATTCACACAGTCCCACTGTAAGCAGAGCTTGTGTTATAGGTACTAGACAACTGATATAAATACTAAGATATATATTTTTTGGAACAACGTATATAGTATACATAAAAAAACATCCCGATATAAACAATCGTACTTATGAGTACAAATGTTTATTCCGTGCGAGGAATAAAAGCGTGTGCTACACCGCTAAACCACAGAGGCCGTCAAAATATTTCGATTACAATCGTCTTGATTATGCTCATAAATAATAATATTAATTGTGCTAAATATTCCATTTATATAATGTGTACTAACGTATTTATTATTTATACGTTTATAAATATTACATAGAAGGTGGGCACATATTAATGTTTTCTATTAAAATATTATACAATTTGGAAACTACAATAAAACTTACGACTAGACAGGTACTGTACAACGAATACTGTTCTCAGTAATTACCCACAATTGTTTTTCTACTTAAATAGTAATATTTATTTATATTCTAGTTTCACATTCTAATTTCAATAATCTATACTATATACTATTTTTAATTTACAACTATACTTGTTTCCTGAAGCATAATTTATCAAAACATGGTTTAGATGAATTTAATTTACTTTCAAAATCGTAAAGAAAAAATCACTGGTCATTTTCTTATTATTAATATGTAAATAAACATAAAATACAATAACCATAGACTACTAAATCGTCTACTACAAGTAGAACTCGAAACGAAAATGATTTCTTGATAACAATTATCAAATTTCGAAATATATTTTTTAAATAGTCTATGGTCTGACTTTTACAAACTGGCAGTTCTAGTTAATTTATTTTTAAAATAATATCGGAATGTTACGTATCTGTCTTAAATTTGATTTAAAAAATAAAAGAAAGACACAGATAAAATATAACGAATTACAACAGATGCTAATAATTTTAATTTAACTGAATAAATAATAATAATAGCGGGAAATTTTGTACAAAGCTGTATGCGTGGCATAGCTATGTCTCATTTATTTTTACAAAGAAATTATTTACTTACATATTATATTTTCTGTTTTAGAGGTTACATACAGCTGTGCAATGTAGAGTGTAGTACTTATAACTACTATTACTATTACTATTCACACTTTATGTTTTTTGTAGAACTTAAAATCCATAGCGCTGACAATATTATCTGATTGAACAAAGATTGAATGCGTAGCGGTTACTATGTTGATTGTCGCATGCCTAATCCGTGTTAATGTATATTTACTTAGATCAACATTTATTTAAAATTGCAACACGCAATTTTCTTGCGCTTTCTTCCTGTGATGAGTTTGCGTTCCGAATGAGTGGTAGAATAAAAAAGTTGACTATTCAAAAGTTATATTAAGTTATTTGAATAAAGATGATTTCTATTCTATTCTTTAAGAACTTCATAATCATTTGCAAGCAAGTATGTACTGATGTAACTGCTTATTCTAATTATTATTTCTATTATTGTTGATGATGGTATAGTATACCAGCCTGCGCTAATGGTAAAAGCTAGTACAGACATCAGTGAAGAATTAAAGAATTTCGATAAAGTCTAATCTCTTTTAGAAGCAAATAGATATTTTTAGTGACCATTGCTAGTAATATGTAGGTTTGGAAACCATTGTGCTAATGGGCTAACAATCCTGACCATCCGTGATAGATGATAAGTTGAGGATGACCTCATTTTATCCTCTATCACGGATATACCTCTGTGCGTACCCTTAGCGGACGCGGACTAACATTCTATCACTTAAAAAAACCACAACTGGCAATGTCTGCCTAATCTAGTAACATTATAAAATGTAACAAATAATTAAAGTAATAAATATAATAATATGTATTAAAAATTATATTATTGATAAATATATATAAATAAATTAGTATAAAATGAGGTTTTCAATTTAAAGCATGATAATGTTGAGTTCTATTATCTATATTCTAAATTAACAATTTGCAATAGCGATAAAAGAAACTGCCTTCTTGTCTAATTTACGACACAATAATACCGTCCGTATCTAAATTATCTATCTATCTATCTATGACTATTTACACTACAAAGTATTATAAAATACACACAATCAATTACACGACTTTTTTAAATATTAAAAAGGTCTATAACTCAACCATTCTGCCACTAACTCACCAATCAATTCGTTTTCGATATTCCTACATATTTATATTGTTAAGTATATTAACTTTTCTCAGCTATTAATATTAATCTTAAATAATTATGAATGGCAAAATAGGGAAATATTTCAATCTCAATAAATTTCTACAATATGATAAAAACGTTCATTTCACTGATTTGTACTCATAATCCGCCATTTTTTGCAGTTTACACAAACATTCCGAATTTGAATAAATTCGAAATTCGAACGGTACCATAGAGGTATCGCTTTACATTTTCGATGTAAGCGCGAAGCTTACACTGCCTGAGGCTAAGGCATGACTGCCCGCGATTCGTTGGGCAGAAGTCGCCGTACAGATGGGTGGTTGGTACCGTCGCTGCTCGATATATCGCTAGTGCTGACCACAGCTGGCTGCGAAAAGTTCTTGCACAGAACCAGGACCTGCAAGTAAATTATTGTTATTATTACCTGTCAGTAGGACTTAAAACATTCAACATCGTTGCATTTAAGGAAACGATCCATTTTGAAGTAGATTAAAAAATAAATTTAGTATAATTAAAATAAGTTGCACACTAATCATTCTATAAACAAAATTATTTACTGCGCTAGTTTATTATCACTCCTAATAAACTTGCGCAGTAAATAGTTTTCTTTCGCAATAGCCAAAGTCTTAAAAAATATCTATGGTGCAGTTTATATTTTTTACCGCGGCGCAAACTGTACTAATTACTTAAAGATCAAGAACAAGGACAAGGGTCCTTCGAATAATTTGTAATCGAGTCAATAATTTTAAATATGTAAAGCATTACACACATTGCGTCAATATCAATGTCACATTACAAAATTAAATATCAGTTAAAACAAACAAGTTGTTTTTCAATTAATTATATTAATGATTATAGTAAATACCTATTTGTTAATTTACCGTTGAATCTATAGATGTTTGGTTAAATTCCTTTGATGTGTTAAAAATAAAAAAAATCTATTCAAATTTGGAACTGTAATATTATTTTGAAGTCAATGTTTTTATTTTAGTAAATTTAGAGAGGCGAAAATAACAAAATTTTCTAATCAATATACATAGACAAGACATACATATATATCAATATACATAGACAAGATATACATAGATAAGACACGTTTTTAATTTTTTACCGTTATAGTTTTAAAATACCTTTTACTATTTTTTTTATTGGTATTTCAGATCAAAGAACATAAATATTGCCGTAAGAGGCGGTTATGTTTACAAAGCAGCTTTGTCGTCTCATAAATATATGAAAGTGTTTACAGAACTGTTAATTGAATTTACACTGTACTTAGCATTAATATTATCTTTGCAATGCGTTAACTTTATCTTGTTGTAGAAACAGTAAATAATGAATATCTTTGTTAGATATATTTTTAATGCTTTAATATATTCTTTGTTACAATAAAAACGATTATTACGATTATTTATTTTTAAAGAATTTGAATTAATTAATTTATTAATGGAATAGTTCTTGTGACTTTTTGGTAATGCATTTATGAGATTTTTTTATATAATCGAAATCATGGCAAACAAATTGGCCCACCACGCCATGGTAAACAAAAATCGTCGTCTATATATTGTTGTTGTTGTTGTCACTTAATCGTAGCCTATAACTAAAACAAAGCTAGTTGCTTGGCGGCTGAAATAGGCGAGAATGACATCCAGAGACCCAAGCAGTCTTAGTACAATGTTTACATTTGGTTTACTGAGGATCTCGTACTTAAAGATGTAAAAGTAGAACAATCTTAAATTAGGGCACCATGAAGCTAATAGGTCTTGGGAAGTTAAATCGAAATGTAATAGGAAGTAACAGCCTCTATAAACCAGAAAACATCGAATTTTAGAGATTGAAAGGTTACTAACCAAAAAGCAGCCCTACCTATGAAAGATTTCGATCATATCTTTAGAAACTTATAAGTTAATAATATAAATAAGTAGTTGAATTTACAATATGCTATTGCTGTTATATGTGATCACCACTCCCAATTTTGTAAATGTGACGTTGCAAGATCTATATTTACAATTAATAATACATAGAGTTCCCAGAATTTTATTTATTTTGATAGGAACAGACAACAATTACTTAAAATGCGCAAGAAATTACACAGAAAATTGCTACTGACCATGTCACGGGATTAAACATTCTCTTGTAATTTATCTGAATCTATTTTAATTTCTAAAAGGGTGAGCTCATGGCTAGAATTAGTTGCTTGTATATTTTGTATTTCCATTAAAAGAAATGACACTTTGAAATACGTTCTGTTGCTCTTAACATTTGTACAAGTAATTATGTTACCTGATTTAACTAATACTGTAAAGTCATTGATACTTTAATGTGTTCAAATAAAGACTAAACATTAGCGAATGAAAAGAAACGGCATGCAAATATTTTGCGTCATTTGTTTAATTGTTTGGAATGTGTTTAGCGAACAATTACTATTTGTAATCAGAAAACATAATATCATCGTTTGTGGTTGCAACAGCTACTAGGAGGACTTCACAGAGTTGCCATCCATCTAGATTATTTGCTTTTTTGTAGATTCTTATCTCCTTTTTGTTTTTAGGGTTTCTATAATTCGAAGAACTCATTATAGTAGTACAAAGATTTCATGTTTCTGAATCTAATTTATCAGAAACTGTATTTATTGAATCGTCAACAAATCCAATTATGTATAGTGTGTATATATATATATATTATTTGTCCATAGATAACGCATTCAGGAATACAAGGATATTAAAGGAAACAAAACGGTGTAGAACTCAGAGGGAGCAGTGAGTCCACCTTCTCTGCTATTCTATTATAGCCTTTATCGTTAAATTATTACAGTAACAAATTAACGATCTTAATTGATATCTACGTCATAAAGGGAATCTCTATTTAAAATTTCTAGTCTCGGTTGTTAAGGTTGTAATGTTAAGTCAGTTGATACAAGTTTTTTTTTTTTTACAAAAATTTGCACAATGTTATACGAACTCTAAATAAGCTTTTTAGCATTTAGTTTAATGCTAAAAATTAAACTAAATGCTAAAAAGCTTCATTGCCATCACATATCACAGTCAGCAACACAAGGTTATTAGAAAGTGAGGATAGCTATCGTTAGCTACTAGTGCACTTATCTTCTACATGTCAAGAGGCTCTTCAATTATAAATGGCAAAAGCACGATCTTCTCTCGAGATGTTTCCTGTATATATACGAGTACGTGCGGTTCATGTACATAATGACTATTCGTCTTCACGACGAAATTATATTCGACTACGAGAACAACTTGTTGTTGAGTTCTTTACTATACGGGTTAGCTAAACATTGTCAAAGGCCTTGTATCTTTTGAGAATGTGATCTTGTATCTTGTATCTTTTGAGAAGTGCTGAATCCACTTTTGATACAAAAGTGGATTCAGCAAGAAAATTCTCATTCAATCTCAAGGATATAGACGTGCGAATGTTATTAGTTGTCATAAATATGGACACAAATACACACCAGTCGCTAATGTAACGAAAAACCATAAAACTGCTAAAACTGGAGTTTGCTCTCATGTACACTTAGCTTGTAGAATGAACTACCTGCCGAGGTTTTCTCATGAGACTACAGCATAGGCTTTTTAAGAAGGGTATATCTTAAAAAGCAGAAGAACCGGCAACGCGCGCGTTACACCCTGGTGTTTTAGGGGACCATAGGCTGCGGTAACAATTTACTAGTTCGTAACCCTTAGTGGGTAAGATTAGGTATACAGGAATTTTATAGAAATGGCAAAGAGTGATTAAAATGAGGAAAGAAAAATGATTATTATGGATTAATAAATAACAAACAATACTTAGACTGAATCAAGATGTCGCATAAGAAACACTTACCGTATATAAAACGGTGAGAACTCCCATCATGCCACCGACCAGTACATCCCACCAGTGGTGGCGGTGATCTGTGAGCCTACTCAGGGTGCAGACAGCGGCGTATACCAGGCAGATTGTCTGGATCAGCGGCACGATGAGCACGGAACGGTTGTGCCAGCTGAAAGCTCGCCTCTGAAGGTACCACTGCAAATAGGAACATTTTAGGACTAACAATTCTGTTAATGTATAGTAAGGTTGATAGGCAAAGAAGCAGTTACTCCTGCTTGATGGAACTGTGTAACCATGACCCATATTTGAAGTACTGCCACCAACGAAGCCGATACGACTTGTGGATATCTTATTCATTTGTGTCGTTAAGCAACTTGTTTTTATAAGCTGTGTTTGAAGGGAGGATTTAGAAGTGAAATAGGGTGGATATATAAGTGAAATTACACGGAAGAATAACGATTTGTTCCTCAAGGCAACTAACTGATTACTTTACATCAAGTGTGCCATAAGCTTTTTTCATTCTTTCATAATCTAAGAGCTACGCTCTTGTCGGTGGAGCTCTTGTCACTTTCCGCGATCTTCCAAAATGCTCTTTAAATGTTTATACGATACGATTATTTTGTCTTTAATTCTAATTATATGAAAAAATTGTATAAGATACTTACAGCGACAAATACTCCGCAGTATATGGCCATAGCAGCATGAGCCGATGGGAAACTTCTCGCGGAGTCGATTTGCAAGTATCTCGAGTATTTTGTAGAGGTGCATTTGTAGCTGGTTACATATTCCGAACTGTGGGGCGAAGGTATTCATTAGATTCCATATACACCATCTGACATTCCTTGGTTCTTAAAACTAAATTCTTTTTGGGTTTTTATGACTATTTAATCATTTTTATTTGTATATATGATGATATTTTCTTTTGGTTCCATGATTAATTCTTTACTAATTTATGCAATTATTTATTTTTACTCCATCTACGACATACCGGCTACGTATGGGTACGTTTAAAAATAACTTTCACTACTTTTATCTTTAATTCCTTTATCTTCGTAAAGTTACAATATTATCGTTGTGACGACTATAGATAACCTCTCTGTCTGTTCGTCTTAAAGCTATGTGTCTTTACTAAGTGTCTCCATTATCGGCAACTTGGCTGATAAGTTTGTTTATTAATTTTTGGAACTTTATTAAACCATGATGAAAGAAAAATATTATTTTAATTTATTATACTGAAAACGTCTCAGCCTAAAGTTAATGCTCTATTTATTTTACTTTTTAACCAACTCTATGAGATATGGCAGTCAAATAATAGAGTGGGATGACATGATTTTTGTATGCATAATAATGGAATGATACACCCGCTTGTACTAACGGTTTACGCTGGCGGAGTACCAGTGAAGGATGATAAAATGAGTCATGAAGTCAGGTCAGTTAGCCCATCTTGGCAAATGGCATTTTACCATAATAGTTACAAGGGGAAACTACGTTAACATGGCAATGGATTAGTAGTATAGTCCCCTGGAATAATAACGCATGAAAGGTACTACGGGCATATCATACTGTGCTGTTAGTGACATGATACACAACGGTTACCATTTACCACTTACTATAAAAAAATTCAACGGTGTTAAATAACTTATGTTAAGAAATATACGTACTGGTTGCAAGTCTTCTCAGCATCAGGCTCGCATAAATCGAAGAACGTCGGTCTTGGAGAGCCGATAACGCATTTGACCACTTCAAGGATGGCGAACACCACCACTGCACCATATATGTAATCTCTATATAAGAGGCCGGCAGTTCTGGCGCTGGCCACGAGCTTGTTGGTCTTCATGTTGTATTCGTCGTGTCTGTGATGGATTATCTCTACTGCCCACATCTGAGAACAAAGAGGTTCATTACTTTCAGATTTCGCATTTTTTCGTCCTCTATAATTGTATTACAAATTCATATTGGAACACTGGCAATAAAGCTAGGTAAGTGTATAGAAAGTATTTACAGAATTTTTTTGTAGTCTATCTCATTTTTTTTTTGTTTTATGACTAAGTAATACAATTTTGGAAGTCAGGTTTTCGCAGGTGGTCTCACACATACGTAGCGAAATTAAACAAAATCATATAAATCCATTAAGTAAAATCACTTTTGAATAATATTTTTTTTTATTCACACATTACAAATACTCTAAATGATTTTTTTTAAAAGCAGACTCAGAACCAGGTTGACTATCGCTTTTTATACAAATGTAAATATATGAAAAACTTTTTAAGCGAAGAAACTTTTTGTTGTTATTTTAGCAAACTTTTTAAATATTCTTTTTATTATGCTCAACATGTAAGAAATATTTTTTCATCTTTGTATTTTTAATTTAGATTTACAGACTGATAATTCTACTACGTTTCCTAGATTAAGTACATACTGAATTATAAAACTGTAGGTGTTTTTAACATACGAGAGCTTATAGAAAGTTGAGATTAGATTTATTAGTTACATGAAACTGGGAGAAATTGCAGCTGGGTTTTAGAAATTGGCAGGCGAACATTATCTTTATGGGAAATTACAACAATCTACTAAGCAGACTAGTCTTTTACATGTTATACATAGAATTAGAGAAACATGTATTTATTTATTCTTCTTTATACAAAATTGTACACCGGATTATTACCTGGTCCTTATTAGTGAACAGTTTTAATTTTAATAAACAAATTTATTTACAACACATCTTTATACTATTACTATACAATACAATTTTTAGTGTCACTTTACTTTTTATTAATAAACAAAAGTAACAAATAAAAGAAGCCGATACGCCTTATTCAATTATTTAAAAAAAAACCCAAAAGATATCTCTTTAGTTTCGTAAAAAAAAAACATTTTCCACCCGCCCTCGTAAAAATATATTTCGAAGTACTTTAGAACTAACAAAAAAAAAAGACAAGAAACTCGGCAGTTATTCTTTTTAAATGAGCTTGTACATGATTAGAAAAAGCACAGATTCATAAACCGATTATCAAACCGGTAATAGCGTATAATTATAGAATAAGTATAGAGATCCTATGCTATTACTAATATTGTACTAATTATAATGTACAAAAGTAGGTCATATGCCTACAAATATTAGAAACGTGATCTCGCGGCCAAAACCGCGGAAACAGCTTGTGTTACATTCAGACAAACATATAAACATCTACGTCAATACAAGAATACCTAATAAACAATGTTTGCGAAAGATTTTCCGCCATTGTTCCGATTTGCTTCATTAGACCACGAATTTGAAGAATTTGCATCACAAACGTAGATCTTTGCTTTGACAATGCTTTGGTTGGTTGTATTTAAATTTATTTGTATTGAAGTTGATGACTGACGCCTGATTGACAGAATCAATCAAGGAGATTGAGTAAATACAATATATGTCAAAAAAATTTAAGAGGATTGATAAAAACAATATTGTTATGTATGTAACGAGATTAGCAAACAAGTTGATGGTCGTTATATTAGGAAGTGGTCACCGTCGTATATATAGTCCATGAACAGTACAACACGTGATACTCATACCCTTCAAGCATTACCATTTTTTATGGGTATATCCATTTCTCTTTATCCATTTAACTTACTCTTTTATGACATATAAAGTGAAAAAAAATCAAATACGATATTTCTTTTTTCGAGTGGCTCTATTAAAGCCAAATCAGTGCTGCAGTGACACGCTGCGACACCAGCTGATTGAAGGTCTGATTTCAGCTCATAGCGCGATATTAGCTTTTAAGTTTTTCTACATTTTTACTATGTATTATGCTATGCTGAATAAATTATTATTACTATGACTCTAATGAATTAGTGGTAGTTGGTAGTTTGTATTTTATGTACTTATTACTACTAAATTATGTAAAAGAGCAACACGCAAATTTCTTGTTCATTCTTGTTGTGATGAGAACAGCTTTCTGAATAGCGGTAGATAAAAAAATAAGTGCTGACTATTCTATGCTTCAATATAAGTTTATTTGAATAAACAATTTTCTATTCTATTCTATACATATATATTACTAGCTACTTGCCCCGGCTTAGCCCGGGTGTACATGTATTATACATATATACCTTCCTCTAAAATCACTCTGTCTATTAGAAAAAACAGCTTCAAAATCCGTTGCGTAGTTTTAAAGATTTAAGCATACATAGGGACGGACAGACAGCGACAGCGACTTTGTTTTCTACTATGTAATGATGATATACATATATATGTGTTATTTATAATTAGATCGTGTTTATTTGGATTACATTGGATCATGCAAACATAATATGATACGTTACAATGATGCGTTTGTATTGTATATGAATTTATCACCCAAGATAGTAGTGGCATGTGACTATCAAAACTGAACTTATGTGCGGAATATTGGACGTAAATATTATGAAATAGATTGATTTACGATACAGTATCGTTTTGTATATAAAACAATTATGCAATACTATGTACGGTCGACATTAATTCTTAAAACGTCGAATTAATGTAATTTTTAATTTTTCTGCAAAAATGGTTGTCGTAATCATCTTATTTTGTTTATATATATATTATATCTATTTAATATAATATATAATTGTATTTAATAAATCAAACCGTAGAGTTTGCTATTAGTATTAAGACCGCCTACTGTACAAAATTCAATAAAATTTTAAATAAATAAATATTTTGTAAGTATTTTTATATCACTTTTTATATTTCATTTATTTGATTGATTTTCTTATTAAAACTATATACAAATATTATAAAGTTGAAATCAAATCGATTTGGCGTGCATTTGTTTATAATTGATAAACTCAGAAATAACTCGAACAATTTTAAAAGTTTTTTTTAAATCGATTATAAAAATTATAGGTAAACACACTTATTGAGTTCACTTTATCACACGATGATAGCGTTTTCGCATACCGTGTTATTTTCTATGGTCGCGGGTTCGATTCCATCCATAGTACAAACATTTATATTCATGAGTATAATAGTTTGTATTGGTCTGGGTATTTTCTATGTGTAATATGTAAGTAGTTAAAAGAAACAGTATTTTTAAATCAGTTGCTTAGCCTATAATACTGACTCTGCTTAGTTTGGGACTCGACGCTGTTTATATTTATTATTATTGTACATATTTATATCTGATTAGCTTAGGACTAGATGGCGATGCGTGGATTATTCAGGGTTATTACTATTACTTCATACAAATACTAAGTATAATGTAATATTAGAAATATGTGTAATCATTACATAGTATAAACAAAGTCGTTGTCGCTGTCTGTCCGTCCCCATTAATGCTTAAACCTTTAAAATTACGCAACGGACTTCGAAGCGGTTTTTTAAATAGATAGAGTCATTCAAGAGGAAAGTTTATATGTATAATACATGTTCACTCGGGCGAAGCCGGGGCGAGTAGCTAGTGTTACATAAAACCATACGAAACTAAAGTTTATAATAATGATGGCAAATAAAATAAATGCTGCTAACTGTACATATTCCACTCTGCTATTCCTCGTATCTCAAAATACAAATTGAATGCAGCACGAGATACCACAGATGGCTTCCGAAGTCACTCTCACCAGATCCAAGATAGCACGCGAGGAAATCAAATAAAACAACAATTCTACATACAGACAACCTTTATACATATAACAGTTTTTAATAAACATTTATGAAACTTAGTAACTTGAAAAATATTTAGAAATAGGAACCCGACTTTGCACGGGTCCAAAACTATAGAAATGTATAAATTTAGAACTGAAAATAACTTTTTCATAAATTTGCTAGTCGTATTTGTTGTAATTTGTGCTTTGTTGTTGTTGTTGCTCTTTAAATCAATATTTAAAGAGCAACACACAAGTTTCTTGCTTATTCTTCTTGTTATGAAGAGTGATAGAATAAAAAATATGACTATTCAAAAGTGCATGTATTGAGATTATTTCAATATTTCAATTTCAGCGATGCAACACGTAAGGAACATAAAAAGGTCATATTGTCCTGTTATATAAAATTATTTTATTTGTAAAAAAAAAATATTTATAAATATATTATACTAGCTGTTCGTCCGCGTGTAATTTAACTTCATTTTTCTAAAATAAAAGTAGCCTAAGTTACTCCTTATTACATTAGCTACCTGCCAAAAATGTCCCGTCAAAATCGGTTCATCGGTTTGTTTGATGTAGCTATTCCTTGGTCTTCCCCTCCCCCTCTTTCCTTCTATTTTCCCCTCAATAATAATTTTCATGAAATCATCGTGCCGTATCAAGTGCCCTAACATATTATACATTTCTAATATTAGTTTAGTTATATTATATGACCACCTCGGTGGTCTAGCGGTCTAGCATACCGCTTTACGACCGATGGTCGCGGGTTCGATTCCTCGCACGGCACAAACATTTGTATTCATGAGTATGATTGTTTGTATCGGTCTGGGTATTTTCTATGTATAATATGTATATATTTATGAAAAAAAAAAAATATCTATGTATTTGTATCAGTTGTCTAGGACCCATAACACAAGCTTTAGCTAGCTTAACTTGGGTCTAGATGGCGCTGTGTGAATTGTCCTGAGATTATTATTATTATTATTATATGTTGATCTATCGTGTGCCACATATAGTGGACTGTTACATTATCAGTCAGCAGTACTTTAAAATATATGTTAATAGATAATTAATTAAAGCCGCCAGTGATTGGATGCAGAAAGTGGAAGATCGAGTTAAGTGGCGCTTCGAGATGACACCGTATCCACAATTTGAACGCTATGAATTTTTATCTAATTTATAATGAAGTTCTTCATTTTTGAAGATGATATTTTTGACGATATTTTGTTTTGGCTTTTTTGGTTTGGAGTATTGAATATTTTTTCTTTATTTGCCAAATATCTAATATTACAAAGTACAAATTATAGAGTATAAGTACAAATAATTTCTCCTAGTTAGATTTTCATTAGTTTTTTTTTTCAATGATTAATGGTTATAAATACTTGACAAAATTAAAAGCTACGATTACTATAATAATTGGACAATTTACACAACGTCATCTAATCTCAAGCTAAGCAGAGCTTGTGTTATAAGCTATAATCAGATCATATATCAGATAACTGATGTATATACTTGGATACATTTTTTAAATACATACATATGAAACACCCATATCGATACAAACAATCACACTTATGAATACAAATGTATGCATCGTGCTAAGAATCGAACCCGACCATTGCAAGTAAGGCGGTATGCTAAACCGCTAGACCACCCACGCCCTCAAACTAAATAAAAACGAAAACTCTACGGGTAATTTCAAATTGAGAATGTTTTTTTTTAATTTCTTAGGAGGCAAAAGACATAAAAGTATACTTACAATAATAAATGGGACAATAAGAGTAATGGCGACGACCAGTGAGATGGAGAAGCTGTCGCCGGTGTAAGCGAAGGAGAGCGCAGGGTCGTGGCACATGAACCCACTGCGGCGGCTTGGCAGGGCGCCCACTTCTAGCAAGATGCATACTGCACCAACTGAGGACAAAAAAGAAATAAAAATTAGCATAATTTTTACAGCAGTGTAACTGAAAATAGAATGAAAATGGTACAATTGTTTTTTACTACTTGGATGGTGGCAAACAAGCATCTGGGCCTGGTGGTAAACGGTTACCGTAGCCTATGAACGCCTAAGAGAACACCAGGGAGTTACGTACGCGTTGCCGACCCTTAAGAAACCTTAAGATAACCTTGAAAAACCCTATGCTGTAGTAACGTGAGATAACATCAGAAGCTAGTTTTACTATAATAATAATAATAATAATTCACATAGCGCCATCTAGTCCTAGCTAAGCAGAATTTATGTTACAGGTTCTAAACAACTGATACAAATACGTATATACATTTTACATAAAAAAAACTATAACATACATATACAATCTCTAAAATATACATATAAAAATTTTGCCCAAGAAATAATTTTTTTTGGGGTGGACCACCCTATTCACTTAGGACTTGAAAAATAGTTTACATCCTATTCTCAAACCTACCGAATATACACATAAAAATCGGTCAAGCAGTTTCGGACTACTTTGGTTTCAAACACTGATATGACAATTTTATATATTAGAAGATATATATCTATAAATATGTATATAACATACAGATTTTTTATTCTATTGCATTCATAAGCCATTTACTATTTTCTGCATTCTCTCGTGGTTATTTTGAAGACATTGTTTGTTTAAGTTGTAATAATAATTTAAATAATAACTCTTTATTGCGCACAGATAAACAAAGAACAATAAGTACAGAATAATAAAAATGTCTTACAAAACGCGGTCTTATCGCTATTAGCAATCTCTTACAGACAACCTGAATCTTATTACTCTGTAAATGAAATGCATTGTAACGCTTCTGAATAATAAATAAATAGTTGATAAATAAATGAACAAGCTTTGTATTTATATTTTTAGACAGATATCGGAGTAGCTAAAACAGAAGTCATAATTAATAACCGGTTTATTCTAAACCATTTAAATTATTTGTCATCATAAATAACTAAATGCGAGTTCTAAATTAAATGCGTTATAAATTAGTTTAAAATAAACAATATAATGTTTGTGTTATGGATATTCTTCTATGTCGTTGTGGGCTTGAGAATTTTTACAAATTGCCCCAAATACCAGGAATATCACGATGAAATATTCATATAACATCGCATCGTTTGGATAACTAATACGTTTGTAATGTTGTTTTAACGAGTTAAATAATATATTTTAGTATTCGTTTATAATATAAAGTTATAAGGCATAGTTTTAGACTGTATGTTAATTCTATATTATTAACAAGGTATCCGTCTTCCCACGGGTGTGCTATACATATAAAACTTTCTCTTCAATTACTCTAACTATTGCTAAAAACTACATCAAAAGCCGTTGCGTAGTTTAAAAGATTTAAGCGAATAACGGAAGCGATTTTATTTTATACTATGTATATTATATTATAGTAGATATGAACCGACGATCTGGTCAAGATCGCTGGCAGGCATTGGATGCGAGCAGCGCAGGACCGATCGTCGTGGAGATCTTTGGGGGAGGCTTTTGTTCAGCAGTGGAAGTCTTCCGGGCTGAGATGATGATGATGAAAGATAGTAGACAAATAAATAGATAACACTTCTTACAGATATTACAATGACAAAATGCATATTGTATTCTTGTTCATATCCGTGAAACATCCTTTCAATTGCGACATCCACGCTGAGTCAAGTCCACATCACTAACTTAAATCTTTTCCCTTTCTTTTTAAAGCTACCTACTTATACTATTATATAATCCATACATGTAATAAAATCGTAAACGAGGAGTTTCTGTATATTAAATATTTTGTCTTATAAACAATTTATTCGTTTTGTACACAAAAATATTTTCAGAATTTTGTCTTTTTGGAATTTTAGAGCACGTAAAACTATGAAACTAACTAACTATTGTAAATGTAAATCGAATATGTTTTAACTGATGTATTATCCTAAGCTTTCCTTAAAAGTATTGGTGTTTGTTTCATCCAATAAGTTTACAAATAATTGAAAAAATACGCATTAGTCTAACTGAAAGGACGGAAAGAGATTCTTATCAGTGCTTCTTGGCTCTACTTTTCGAACTGACGGTAGATTTGATTTATCATAAGTGTTCTTAATTGATCTACATGCATAAACATATTTTGATTTGATTTGATTTTACTCATACGAATTTATGTATACACTGGGCAAAAGTAATTATTCATTAAACGATTATTGAAGTTACTACAAAATGTCTTATATGTTTTGAATTTGAAATTAAAATAGATCTTGATGATTTTCTCATAGGTTTGACATATTTATGCCGTGTTTTTACATGAATCCCACATTGTTTACTTCGGCGGAGGGAGGATTTTTGGATGATTTTTCCACATGTAAAAATTTGTAAAATGTCTTGTAATAATTAAGAAGTTATGAATTTGAATGTACCGATTGGTCATATAAAAAAAATATTGAGGTTATGTGTATCCTTTTAAATCATTACAAGAATTTCTCCTTAGCCATACATCGTACCTTTGTTTTTTATTATCGACATTCGAGGCATACCTGAACAATATGTCATAAGTTTTTGTCCACCATTTTTTTACGATCTATAAAAATTAACGACGAATAATAATCGATTCCGATGCCTATAACAAATCATTGATTGGAATCCTTTAAAATATCCGCTTTGTTCTTAGAAGCGGTTTAATTTTAAACATTCCGGAATATTTCCTGAGTATAAATGTGTCAAGAGATTATTTATTACTCTGGCCATAGGTATCTACGTATACTATACTATACCTATATACTATAGGTGGTTCACAAGAGTCTGCGGAACATCAGAAGTCCGTAATACTTTCGTTCCATAAGACGCCCGAATTTGCGCGGGTCACCTAGTTTTTCATACACATTGAATAGTTTAAAGTACCTTAATATGAAGTTCTGTAAAATGTGGAATCATTGTACTATAATAACTATTTTTATGGCCATCGTAGCCTCAACTTTATGTAAGAAGTAAAGTCCCAAGTTAAGCTGAGCAGTGTTATGGATACTAGCCTAGATTTCTTTTTTCTTGTAAATGCAAATAACTTTCTAAATACTACTATATACCTATATTATGTACATATATATGCTAGACAACAATAAAATAAACTACTTGACCAGTAAAATTTTGCAAATCCTATTCTAGTAAACAATGTTCATGATCACCAAGACATGTTAGCTAAATGTTTAGATAACGTGCCGACCTTAAAATCCCATACAACGAGCTACCTCGTTAACCATGTTTCCTTAATACACACCATCTGCTCGAAGTGGTTGTTAAGATAACACGTGAAGATCAAATGGGCTTTGATATGGTCAGTAAATGAACACATCCTTTTGATAACGTACCTACATCATGATTAAATGTTAAAACTTTCTCCGGTTAATTGGATAGAATAGAAGAGAATGGAATAGAACACAATACAACAATGATGATGCTCACAGCAGCATATAAAATATTATTTCAAAGAAATTGTAATAAAAACAATAAATTAAATTGTAGATAAAATAATTATATAAATAAATAACAAGGAAAGCAAGAAAAAACATATAACAATACAAAATGCATAGGTAATCGCTATAGTTACAAGAGAGACTAAATTAATGTCTGTGAACTGGAGAAGAAGATTAAAAGTGACAAGCTTCTAAACTACTTTACATTAAAAAACAAAGTCGCCGGTGCTGTATTTACGCTTAGATCTTTTAAGTTACGCAACGGATTTTTATTAAATTTTCAGAAATAAATGGAGTGATTCAAGAGGAAGGTTTATATGTAATAACACGTGCGTGTTATAATATAGAACAAGCCAAAGAATTGTAATGCATCCATATGAAGCCTGGACAGACCGCTAATATATCATATAAATGATATTGTAATTATTTCCTTCTCCTACAGAAAATAGCATTATACTGCGTGCAGACATCTTTTATAAACATTGTGCATTTGGATGTATCAATAAAATGGTAACAATTTTAATAGATCTTTGACATGTTTACATTACATACATTTAAAGTGCTTTATGTTTTAGTAGTATTATACCGAAAGCATATTTCTTTACATAAACAAGTTGTAAACAAATCTAGCACAAATTTGTTACAATTGTTTTTAATACTTTTGAAGTTTTGTTGAAATACATTTTCCATCAGAATTAAACTTTAGAAATTTCTCTTCATTCAAATTATCTCTAAATTTATATCCGTATTCAATTCATAGGAAATTCTGACTACGTTTCTTTCAAATTTTAACATATGTTATTTGTGTATTCCTTAGAGCGTTCAAATATTTGATAATCAAACTTTGTTAAGACAAAACTACCTACTCCGGAAACTATAATATTTTTATTCATCCTGTTTAGGATTAATATCTCCAGAATATACGTGGGAGCTTATGGTTATGGGACTCTCTACCATTTGATTTAATATCGTGGCAGTTTACCATGGCATTTTGTCTCGTTACATTGCTTAGATAAGCATGTAATCTATCGTTCTATGGAAATTATTTATAGTTTACACAATACAAATCGTAAAGTAGTTTCATTTGAATGATTCTGTTAAACCTTTTGGTTTTTTGCATTTCAGGGTAACTTTATTTATTAAAGTTATTATTAAACTTTGTTCAATTCAATTTAATTATTCATTAACCCAAGTAACAAGATTTATTCAGAGTCCTTGGTTGCATTTTAAGATTACTGTATAAAATTGGATTGGATTTAAACAGATTTGAGATTAGATTTATTAGTAGACCTGTTGCTATTGCTATGACCTTGGTACGCCTTATAGTGCACTTACAGTCATTTCTAAAGGTACTCAACTTAAAACGTTAGTTTAAACTTGATGATAAACTGTACAGTTAAACGTATTACTTTAAAAGCTGTTACTGTTATCATTAAAGTGTGGAGTATTTGGTGATTGTGTTTGAAAACATTGGAGTTAATGG